GTACTGGGACCAAGGGGTTTGGTCAAGAAAGCCTTTCCAGACATGAGTTTGACAAGCGGAGGCAGGCATTCTAGGCCAGGGGAATTACTTATCCCAAGGCCTGGAGATGAGAAAGAGTCTGGCAGGTGTAGCAGCTACTGATGAACAAAGTGGTTGGGCTGTAGGGTCAGAGGAAATGGCCAGAAAGGAAGTTGCAAGGGAGTTAGGCAAAGCCTCTGAAGGTGAGATCTAGGGGAGAAGCTGAGCTTCCACCAGAGAAGCTAGAGGAACTCTAGGGAGGGAGGGCCTTAGTAGCCTCTGGAGACCATGCTGCAAAAGGGTGAAGTGGCAGGTGTTTGATGCCACGGCCCAGAGCTGACCTGCCCCTCACCTCCAGCATGGTGAGGACACCTTCAACCGAGCCAAGCTGCTCAATGTGGGCTTCCTGGAAGCACTGAAGGAAGATGCTGCCTACGACTGCTTTATCTTCAGTGATGTGGACCTGGTCCCAATGGACGACCGAAATCTTTACCGATGTGGTGACCAACCCCGGCACTTTGCCATTGCCATGGACAAGTTTGGCTTCCGGTGAGGTGCTCCTCTCAACTAGACCCAGACCTCTATGTCCCTCCTTTACCTGGGTCCTCACTCCTGGCTCCAGTGCCCTACTGGCTCTGGGCCCATGGCCTGCATCCTTCTAGCTAGACCAGGTCCTCTCTGGACACCTGATTCCATGTTGTTCCCACACCCTGTCTCTGATCTCTTGCATCCCTTACTGACACCTGCCCTCCGATGCCACAGGCTGCCCTATGCTGGCTACTTTGGAGGTGTGTCAGGCCTGAGTAAGACCCAGTTCCTGAGAATCAATGGCTTCCCCAATGAGTACTGGGGCTGGGGTGGCGAGGATGACGACATCTTTAACCGGTGAGTTGAGTGGGTTGGGAGAAGGTTGGGTGGATGAGGGGTGAAACACAGACATATGGGGCTCCCTGCCCTTCCTGGTGCCTGCTCCAGTCCATCTGTCCCCATCCTCAGGATTTCCCTGACTGGGATGAAGATCTCACGCCCAGACATCCGAATAGGCCGCTACCGCATGATCAAGCACGACCGGGACAAGCATAACGAGCCCAACCCTCAGAGGTGACCCCCCCCCAGCACCCTGATCCCATCCCTTACTCCCTAGAGGCGATCTTTTAGTATACCTGAGTCTTAACCATAAGTGTCTTCAATCCCTGACCCTTTCAAAGTGGCATTGAAGCATTCTTGACCCTTGAGAGGCGACTTAGAGGCTGTAGTTTCCTAGAGATGACCAGAATTTAGAGTGACGGCCCAGTTGGTCATCAGTTACATTCCCAGCTGGGTGTGGTGGCACATACTTGTAATCTCAGCACTTGGGAAACTGAGGCAGGAGGATTCCTACAAATTTGAGGACAGCCTGAGCTACATAGTGAGTTCAAGGCCAGCCCAAACTGCACAGTGAGACCCTGTCTCAAAAACAAAAGACTGAGAAGATAGCTCAGTGAGTAAAACACTTGCCTAGCATGCACAAGGCCCTAGGTTTAATCTCTAGTACCAACAAAAACAAACAAAAAGAAGTATACGTTCCCACTGGTGCCTTTGAAGACCTCACTTGGGCCCTGGCACAAGTGAGGGTGGGAGGCTTCCTGGAGGAGGTGAGGGCAGAGTGGAGTCTAAAAAGAACAAATACTTGTCTCACACCTTGCTTGGGCACAGTGCTGTATTCACCAAGGCTAAAGGGGAAGAAAATGGATTTTTAAGAGTCTAGAATGTGAATATGTGTGGCTTGTTCTGAGACTTTCTTTTTTTCCAGTACTGGGGATTCAACTGAGGGCCTTTATGCTGAGCTACACCAGACCTTTCTTTTGAGTCAGTCTTACTTACTTGCTCTGATTAAGCCCAAACTTGTGATCCTCTTGTGTCAGCCTCCCAGAGTGCTGGGATTATAGGCACATACCACCGCACTCACCTTCTTTTTTTTTGGACCAGGGATTGAACTCAGGACATTGTGTTTGCCAGGGAAGCATTTATGCCACTGAGCTATATCCCTGGCCCATCTTTTGTTTTTTTGTAAGAGGGGTCTCATGACTACAAGCTGGCCTCAAAATCACTCAGCCCCCATGTACTGGATTATAGTTGTGTTCCACCATGCTCAGTTTAAACTTCTGGTTTTAAGACAGTAGAGGCTGGGGGTGGCAGCAGGAGGCAATTAGTGCTGGGGTTGAGGGTCTTGAGCACAAGACTGGGATTTTAATCTTTGACCAGAGGGACTTGGAACCACAGAGTGGCTTTGAGCAGTGAACAGCAGGACCAGGTTTGTGTTTGGAAGGCCCACTCTTAAAGAGATCAGGGTGCTTCCCAGTTAGCCCAGTTGTTTTAAAGTGCCTGCTTGGCCAACTCAGTCAGGTGCAGGGGACTGAGGTTCAATCCTAGGCTTCACAAGCTGCACCGGATCTACCCTCAACAAAGCCTGAGCTAATCTTTAGGGGCGGCCTGATAGCTCAGCAGACTAGAGCACCTGCTTAGGCAGAGTGCAGCGGCAGGGGTTTGCTCCCCAGGATGCTGTAATGGCCCTGCCAATGGGGTGCACTGAGGTGGCAATGCCTGTAATCCCAGCTCTTGGGAGGCTGAACACAGGCAGATCACTACGAGTCCAATTTACATAATGAGACCCTGTAGACCCTGTACTAAAATACAAAAATAATAATAATAATAATAATAATAATAATAATAATAATAATAAAGAGAGAAAAATCAGGAGGCTGCATCTTCTCTGGCTCCACCCTAACAGTTGGGTGGAGCCAGAGAAGATGCAGCCCAGGCCTGAAGGGACTGAGAGACAGGGGCAAGGATGTGTAGGGCTGCTGTGTCCCTGGTTTAGACAGCAGGGATTTCTGCTGTGAACCCAGGATATAGGAAACGGGTGGATTGCAGTACAGATCCAGGATTGGAGATTGGCACAAGTGTGGTACTCTTGTGAGTCCTGGGCGCTGAGATAAAGAATGAGTTTAGATGAACATAACTACGACCAAGCCATGTTTGGCAGCACACTGTGTAATCCCAGCCCTCTAGGAGGCTGAGGCAAGAGGATTGCTTTGAGTATGAGGTCAGCCTGAATTAGGCCCGTATCATAAATAAATAAAGTTTAAAAGCCATTAAAGGGAGGATAGAGTTACAGCTCACTGCAAAGGCTGGGGGTTTACTTCCCAGCACCACAAACAAAACAAAAACTGGTCAGCATAGAAGAGCCGGGTCCTGGGGAAGAAGGCTGAGTGGGAGTGCAGTGCCAAGAGGGGTCTGAGCTGAGCCCGGAAGCACTGGGAGGCTCTGGCAGTTGGGGTGAAGGTGGAAGTGGAGCTCCTGCGACTTGCGTCAGAAGCCCTGGTCCTGCTGCACAAATAGCTTAGTGGGGTGGTCTCTCAGTAGTGAGATCTGCTTGGATGTGGAAATGGCCAGACATCAAGAAAGACCTAGGTAAAGAAATTTAATGGAGTTCTGTCTACCCTAGTGCCTTTTTAAAGGTTTTGTTTTGTTTTTGTTTTTGTTTAAATAAACCTCTTTTTCTAAAGGAAGAGGTCAGCAACTTGGGGGCAGGTCCTAGAGTAAAGGGCTCCTCTGAGTCACCCCGGGAAGAAGCAGGAGGGCTCGATCCTTGGCCCCACAGATGCCATAGTGAGTTTGGCTGTTTGCTCATATGTGGACCCATTTCCATCCTCCCCAGGTTTACCAAGATTCAAAACACGAAGCTGACCATGAAGCGGGATGGCATTGGGTCAGTGCGATACCAGGTCCTGGAGGTGTCTCGGCAACCACTCTTTACCAACATCACAGTGGACATTGGGCGGCCCCCATCGTGGCCCCCCCGGGGCTAACACTGACCAACTAAGGTGCTTGGTGCCAAGGATTGCCCACCAGAGGACTGACTGACAGCGTGGCTGGCTCTGCTCTGGTGGGGGGACCCCAAACTGAGACTGTGGGCTGTTTTCTGAGGGTCTTCAATAATAGACCTGCCAGCTGCACCTAGAAGTTTCAGAACCCACTTTTGAGGAGCTTGTGGCCTGGGCAAGCCCCTCAAGTGTGGCCCTCTCTGGGGTCAGCCCTTCTTCCTGCCCTAATTCCCCCAGCCCAGCCCCCTCGCTGTAAGGGTCGGGCCAGCCCCTGCACTGCCTCACCGAGTGGCTTGGACTAGGTCACTCCACCTCTCTGTGCCTCAGTTTCCCCCCTTGAGTCCCCTAGGGCCTGGAAGGGTGGGAGGTATGACTAGGGGGCAATGTCTCTTCCAGGGGGAATTCTCAGACCTGGGAATCCCCCATGCTCCCAGGGGAGGGGAAACCTTTTTCATTCCGCATTGTAGGGGGCACACTTTGGTGCGACCCCTGCTGAGGAGCAGCCCCAGAAGGGGAGCAGAGCGGGTGCTGTTGCTGCCCAGGATCTTGGGGTTGGCCTTTGCATGGGGCAGGGGTGAGGGGCTTGGATCAGTCTGAGTCCCACCTCCCTGCCTCAAAAAGGAGGCAGGAGCCCCAGGGCCGGCTCGTGTTTGTACATTGCACAGAAACTCGTGTGGGTGCTTTAGTAAAAAACGTGAATGGAGCAGCTTCCTTTGTGCGTCTCGGAGTGAGGGTGGGGTGCCCGAACCTACTTCAAGATGAATGAGGGAACCTGACGGGCCATCCAGGTTTCTCCAGGCGCTGGGGTGCCCTGGAGGAAAAGTTAACTGTACTTTGCTGCCCCCTGGGGGGGCAGTAGAGACAATGAAGTAATAAACCCAGTGAGATCAGGTTTCTTAGTCCTTGACCTGCCTCGAGGCAGAAAGCTGTGCAGAGGTGAACCCAGGTGCTTGTGGAGAGCAGCTGCTGGGTCGGGGGCGCCAACTCCCAGACACCGCGGTCCTGGGCTGGGCAGTCAGGGAGCGTCCCACGCGAGGTAGGCGAGGCGGGGGCGCGGTCTCCCGGGTAACGGCTGCGGAGGAGGCGGGCGGGGCCGGTTCGGCTGCCGGGCTGTCCCGGGCTATGTCCTGGAGCGGCGGCCCCCGAGCGTCTGCAGGGCGGGAGAGAAACGGGTGGGGAGAGAAGGCGCCGGAGGCCGATCCGAGTAATAGAGCTGTGGGATCCGCGGAGCCGGGCAGGTCCGTGGGGCGACGACGTGGCCGACCTGCGCCCTGATCCACTGTTCTGTAGGCCTCAGCCGGGGATGGCGGCGCGCTGGGCCGGAGCCCCGGGACGCCCCGTCGCTGTGGGAGTTGGTGGAGGCACAAGTTCCGCCCCTAGAACGGCCTGAAGTGAAAAGGATTCTGGGGGAGGCGGTGGTGGACCTGAGCCTGGAGCTGCGGGCGGAGGTGGGAACGGGGAGGGCAGCCCAGGCCTGCCCCACGACCCGCGGGAGCCCCCAGGTCCATGGCCCTGCTGTGTTCCCTCTCGGGAACTTAGGTCTTTCTGCCTTCCCTGTCCTCTCCTGTTTGATCCCGCCCTATTCCAGCTCCCTGCTCAGGCGCAAGGTGCCCTAGCTCTGCCTTGCAGGTGGCGATGCTACAGGCACTGCTCCGAGAGGCCCGGTCCGCCCCAGTCCCCAGCTCCCACACTCTCTCTGCTCCCTCCTCCTTCCTGGCACCACCACCCCACTTGAGAGACCTTGTGCGCCAGGAGCTCCGACAGCTACTCCAAGGTCTCCGCCAAAAGGCTATCCGCGAGGGAAGGTGGGAACCTCACTTCAGCATGGCCCTCTCCCTGGACATCAGATGGGCAAGTCCTGTCCCTCTAGAGGAGCCAGAGTCCTGAGGTTTCCTGATAGGAACCCCTGTGTCTTTCTTGTGCCCATTTTGCAGGGACCAGGCCCAGGCATGGGCCCGGTACAGCCCCCGGGTCCTTCATTTTGCTTTGGAGGAGTCCAGGCAGGACTTGCCTGAGCAGACGATCCAGCGGAGAGCTAGTGAACCCAGGTGAAGTGGTGGTAGAGAGGAGAGCTCTGTCTGCTTCACCCTAGCCAACTGGTGGGTTCCATCTGTCTGCATGGGGGGAAGGTAGTTGTTTTTGTGTTTTTGAGTCATGATCTTCCTGTGTAGCTCAGGTTGGCCTTGAACTCACAATGCAACCCAGGCTGGCCTCAAACTTGCAGTAATCCTCCTGCCTCAGCCTCCCAGAATGCTGGAATTACAGGTGTGGCCAACATACTTGGCCTAAGACACTTGTGATAGGGATCTTAACATGAAAGCTGCAAAATCTCCCAAGGACACAGAATACCCAGCTTAGAGGCAGCCAGTCTTACTGGAAAGAGTGGTTTAACTTGGGTCTTGAAGTATAAGGTAGAAACTTTTCAGTCAGATGAAGGAGAGACGAGCTTCCTGGGAAGAGGAAGGACAGAGGCCACCTCCAGTGGGCAGTTGTTCCTCAGGCCTGGAGAGCAGAAGTGAGGATGGGGCAGGAGAGGCAGGAGAGCTGAGGGCAGAGAGCAGCAGATAGTGTTTGCAGCTGAGGCTGAGTGAGATAAACATAACAAGGGCATGTTCATAAGACATGGGTAGCAGCATCTTCTAGTCTTCATACAGTTCAATAAAGGTGGTGACCCCCACTTTGTAGATGGGAAAAAATGAAGCTCAGAAAGAAAAAGCAGTGTGCTCAAGGTCACCCTCAGGAAAGGGCAGCAAGGCCCATTCACAAGCCAGAACTCCCACTGTTGACATTGTATTTTGTTGCCTGTGGGAAAAGACCCAGAATTATCACCAAGTGACATCTGTGTCCTGAAGGCCTGGGATGAGCAACACAGAGAGAATGATGTTGATTTCATCTGCCAGCAGCAGTCACAGGGACCTCTGTGTCATCAAGGACCAGCTGAGCATGTCCTGCATTGACCAAGTTGCTGGACACCTGAGGTGAGGCCTGGGGACTTCTGAGTGTGTGTCAGTGGAGGGACAGGATGGAAAAGGGCTGGATGCTGAGGTGCTGGTACTAGCTGAGAGGCTGCGTGTGGAAGGCAGGTTGCTGCAACACTAGGGGCTTCTGCCATGACAGCCAAATAAGATGGAGGTAGGGGGTAGGGGTGGGTGTGGAGAGTTGGGGGGGCAAGGGTTTTTGGTTTTGTTTTTCTTTACTTTTCTGGGGATTGAACCTGGAACCTTTGTGCAGAGTTACATCCCCAGCTGTTTTTATGTTTTATTTTGAGATAGAGTTAGAACTTAAAATCAAATTCAGCTTCCCAGAGTTCTAGGACTGCAGGCCTGTGGTACTGTGCCCAACTTCGGACATAGGATTTTTAATCTGATACTGGGGGGAGCCACAGGAAGCTGGGGAAGGGTTGTGTCAAGAGTAGGAGTCACTGGCACCCTGCAGTAGTACAGAAGACAGGATGGTGCCAGCTGGGGTGGTGCTGTCAGGTGGGCAAGAGGACATATTCTGCCCAGAAAGAAATGAGCAGCAGCCGGGCAACAGAGGCCAAGGCCGGCTGAGCAAGGAGTGGTTGGAGGTAGCCTGATGAGGCTGCAGGTTGAGGCCCAGCAGTGGGTTCTGACTGGTGCCTGTAGCTCTGATTCTGAGCTTCCTTGTACCCCAGGGGCCTCCTTGAAGAGGAATGTCGCACCATGGAGAGAAAGATCTCCACTCTGCAGGTAAGTGCAGCCCTGGGCCTTCTCCAGAGCTTCTGGGCCTCTTTATTTTGGGCTCTGAGACTGTGCATGAAAGTATCGGAATACATATGTGCATGTCAAGATTGTGCAAATCCTGTGTTCCCTTCTCATGTGCTCATGTTTTAGTAGCGTGTGTGTGTGTTGTGTATGTGTGTGTGTGAAGTCCTAAAAACCCAAGCTCAGCAGTTTTAGATTAAATTGTTGTACTGCCACAGGTCCTTTACTTCCTTCCCTTACCTGAATCCAGGTACAAGACCAACAGCATCACCAGTCTTGGTGTTCATACAGACTGGGGCTCTCCCTGGGGGTTGCCTTCATGGTAGCTGGGCTGAGAGGCTGGGGCTTAGACTTGTTCCTGGGCCCTGCCCTAGGGATCTTGGTCTCTGCCTTCAGGCTGGGCCACTGACCCACCTCTCCCTGCAGCACTGCCTGGAAGTGGAGCATACTCAGGCTGGCCAGTCTTTCAAGACAGCTCTTGAGCCCACCCTGGCAGGTGAGGACCCTGAGCAGGCCCTGGAGAACCTGGTTCCTGTCCCCACTTCTCAGTGGGCACATGGTGGGAGAGCCAGGCACTGTCTCAGCTGTGTCCTCCCTCAGAGCTAAAGGAACAGAAGAAGGCCATGGAACAGGAGCTGCAGGGCCCTTTGGGGCCTTCCTGTGTCTCCAGCAAACAGAGGTAGAGCGAAGCAAGTAGCCAGTGGTGGTTGTAAGCTGAAGGGTCAGGGACAGCCCCCTCACAATTACTTCTTCCCATCCAGGCAACAGCCCTTGGGGTCCTCCTTTCAGGGCCTTAGAGCCTTTCAGTGTCTCCAAGGAGCCACTGGAACTTGGGCCAGGCCTCCTCAAGGCTACCTGCCTACACCTCCTTTGGAGAAGTGCCCTCAGCCTAGAGGCCAGGCCACTACCCGCTGGAGAAGGCAGCTTCGGTACAGCCCCAGGGAAGGTCTGGCTTCCATGTCAGTGTCCACTGCTACACACCGAGCCTTGACCTGATATAGGCTTCTGCTTCTGCTTCTGCTTCTGCTGAACTCGACCCATCTGCTGCTGCCACCTCAGCTGCCATGGCCCTGCTCTGTATGAGCTCTCGCTAGAACCTAAAGGCTGTTTGGATGTCTGGCCCTTGCCCCACCCCCTTGCTGGTCCCGAATGTCTAGGGCTGAATGGCCAGATATCTGTCAAAGCCTTCAGCCTTTTTCCTCCTGGGCCATCACAAAGGCTTGGCCAATAGAGGTCCCATCCCAGCCTTGACTTTTGTCCCCCAGGGGACCCAGACAAAGCACAGTAGCAGCTCAGACAGGAATAGAAATTTCATTAAAATCTATGGACTTTAAAATCCTAGTGGTGCATGGATGGACAGGGAGGGTGGTGCACCGTTATTGCTACAGAGGATTAGAGGCAGCTTAGCCAGTGCTGTCACTGCACGCAGGGCACAGAGAATGGACAAACAGACACTGCAGGACTTGGGAGATGGAGCTCTGGCTCTGGAGAGGAACTGGGTCACAAGGCCTAGGGCCTTTTGGCACAAGAACAGGGGCAGCACGTGTGGGAACACAAGGCCTTTAGCCTGGTGGAGGGAGGGCAAGGGGTGCCGTGCAGGGTCCCCTTCCTCAGGGCTATGGGCTCAGCCCCCCCACTGAGCATCCTCTACCTCTGCCCTCCAGAAACAAGTGCTTTGGGCTGGCTGCTGACTTCACAGCCTCTGCTGGCTGGGCCTGATAGCCAGGGTTGGAATGAGGGGCAGAGACCTTGGAGCAGCCACGTGAGGTGCAGGCAGGTCTGGAAGACAGACTGGACCCGAAGCTGGGGCAGGCTGGCAACCACAGATAATACAGTTTTTACAAAAATAATAACACAGATAAACAGGGCTTGGTGGGACAGCCTGGCAGGTAACACTGGCCTCATCCCCAGCCCCTCGCCCAGCCTCAGGGAGTAGGATCCAGATTTTCCTGGGCAGAGGCTGGGGTCTATTCTGGGGTCAGGAACACTGGTCACAAGGCCGGAGGTCCATGGAGAGAACAGGCGGGGGCCAACCCAGAACCTCAACTCAGGGCAGAGTGCGAGGATATCAGAGGCCAAGGAAAGCCTGACGACCTCTCAGGATCCAGCCCAAGACCCCTCCAAAGTGCTTTGGCCCCCTACAGTCCTCCCACTGCCTCTTCGCCCAGCTGCTGTCTTGGCATCCAAAGGACATGTAAACACTGGGGACACGAGCACAAATGACTGCACTAGCAGTGGTAGCCAGGGTGACAGCAGCTGTCCTGGCTGGGGTGTGACAGAGGGCAGGTAGCCACCCCATCCACTGCCTCCCCATTCTCTGGTGGGAGCACAGGGTGGAAGGCCACTCCCTGGGCAACTGTGCTCATATCCGGGAGTCTTGGAGGTGGCTGGAGCCATTACTGCCGACCATGGGGATCTGGGCCTTGTCTGGGTGCAGTGGCTGGACTTCAAAGCCGTCTTCAGGAGAAGGGGCTATGGTGGGGGCATAGCGCCCAGTCTGGTGCTCCAGGAGGGCAGGGCCCCAGTCTCTGCTTGGCTTTGTGGCATTTTTCAAACGCTGCATGAGAGGTAGGCATGGTGAATCAGAAGGGGGCTCTGAAGTCTGCACACCCTTCATTTTGCCTAGTTACCTGGGCGGCTCCTGGCCCTCACCTGTAGGAGGGTGTCCCCATCTGTGCGGCAGAGCTGAAACAGGGCGTAGAGTGGGATGCAGATGACTGAGGACAAGGCCATGAGGAAGCCGACAGCCACGGCCCAGCCTGGGTACTCATAGTGGTTGTAGGTGATTGGTCGGTACTGGATCACCGTGAAGATGAGAATGAACTGCAGGGGTGGGCAGGCAGTGGGGTGAGGCCAGCTCAGGGCCCCTCCCATCTGTGCCCCTACTGGCCCCCATTCTTCTCCAGGTTCCCAAGAGGCATTTTAGGCAGGGCATTGGCAAATGAGGACACCTGGGTAGTAGAAGCAGCAGTGGAACTAGTGGCCCAAGGCATGGTGGGCAGGCACCATGGGAAGGCAGAGGTATATCTGCCACAGTCTTGACCCGGCCAGAGAACAACCTGGATGTGGCCACCTCTGAAAGTCAGTCGTTTCCAGACTCAATTTGAATACCCTGCTGCCAGATCCTGGGCTGTAGACCTCCGCAACATGACTGCTGGCCTCTTACCCTGCCTCAGTAGCTGTCACACAACCACCTCCTTCCCTCTCCTGGGGAATTACCCTGTGCCTTTCTGGCCAGGTAGAAGGGGGCTCCTACTCCCCCTCTACTGTTTCCAAGAGAAAAAAGCTGGGGGCTGTCAGGGAGGAAGGGCCTTGGGAAAACTTACAAAGATGATGGCGGGAGAGACAAAACGCCAGCAAATCTGGAAGAAGAGGGGCGGGGGGAACCCCAGCATCATCTGAATGTCCTGGAAGTAGTTCCGGTGCCCTGGAGAGAATGGTGTCATCAGGCCCAGCAGGATAGAGTGGGCCAGCCAGGGGCTGGGACCCGCAAGGCCATGGGAGCTTGGACACCTACCGTAGATGTACATGATGGACACACACATGATGCAGGAGATCACGACCAAGGAGAAGCTGGCTGCATAATTGTCCATCAACAGCAGCCAGTAGATGCCTGCCTGTGGGCCAGTGGGCAGCTGAGCCATGTGTGCAGGGCCCAGCTCCCCACTCTTCCCCGTGGACCCTGCAGCTGCAGCCACACCTTCCTCCCACTGGCTTCTCACCTGGCTGGTCAGGGGGATGCCCAGCAGGAAGCCAGCCACAGCCACGGCCAAGGTCACATAGGTCTTTTTCTGCAGGATCCACTCATTCCCCACCTCATCCACAATGGCTGTGACTAGTGTCTCTAGGAGGCAGAACTGCAAGGCCCAGCCATCAGAGCAAGGGCTGACCTCCACCTGTCCTGCCTCCCCAAAGCCCCCCAAAGCACCTCCTACCTGAGTGCCCAGCCCCAGCAAGATGAGCATGAAGAAGAAGAGCAGGGACCACAGTGGGGAGATGGGCAGCAGTGTGAGGGCCTCTGGGTAGGCCACAAAGGCCAGGCCAGGGCCGTGGTCGGCCACCCGGGACACGTCCACCCCCAGATGCTTAGCCATGAAGCCAAGGATGGAGAAGATAACGAAGCCAGCATAGACACTGGTGGCACAGTTGGTAATGCTGATGATGACACTGTCCCTGAAGGGAGGAAAACAATGCTTAGGAGATGTAGCTGCCTCCCTTCTCCCTAGTGTGGGCCAAGAAAATGACATGGAGATGAGGAAATTTCTAGAAACAAAGGTATCTGTCTCCACATCCTTCTCAAGTGAGTCAGAGGCTCTCAAGTCTTCACAGACTCAGGGACACCCATCTCCATTTCTCCAATCTCTGTGCCAGAGCTCTTCACATTCTTAGGAGTGGAAGTGGAGGGCCCCCTGCCACAGAGCCTGGTGGATATGGGGAGTCAGGCTTGGGCTGTGCAGAAGGCAGGGTGTGGGCAGGTATGGGGCCAACTGGGCCTTCTCACCGATAACAGTTGTTGTGGAACTTGTTGTAGGAGGCCATGGTGATGAGGCCGCCCCAGGCGCAGCCCAGCGAGTAGAAGATCTGGGAGGCGGCATCTCCCCACACCTGCAGGGAGGTTGGCCAGTGAGGCACTGAGGTAGAGGCAGCTCTGCCAGGGCCCCAGTGCTCTCTCCACATCCCACCTTGGCCTCCAGGATCTTGTCCCACTGTGGAGTCAGGTAGTACATGATGCCTGTGAAGGCTCCTTCCAGGGTCACTCCACGGACGAACAAGATGGTCAGCACCACATAGGGGAATGTGGCTGTGAAGTACACCACCTGCGGCAGGATGGCTCCATGGACACCTGTGGCTCTCGCCATCCCAGCAGCAGCTCCCCACCCCCAGCCCGCTGATCCTTTCACCCCTCAGTGTTTTATGGCTCTCAACAGCTCCATGAGCCAGTTGGGGCAGTAGGGTTTCCGGGTGGGGACAGACCCTGCCTGGGCAGGGGTACTTGCTTTCCCTGAAGACTTGACCCCTCGGATGAGGCAGAGGAAGACGACCACCCAGGAGACACCAAGACAGCCGAGGAGGGGAAGCCGCACTTCCCCGAAGTTCCCGATGTCGTCAGATAGCTTCAGCACATAAAGCCTGAGGAAGGGGTATTGTCATAGAGGGCCAGACCCTGCTGTCTGGAAATCAAGCCCAGAAGTAGCTCCTGGGAGATGGGAACCACTTCAGGGGTCCCACCTGGCCCAGATGCTACCCCCAGGCCCAGACCAGTCTTTCTTCCCAGAACATAGAGATCTCCAGCCCCTCATGGGCCCGCTTAGCCCCTCAGAAGTGGGAAGCTACCTGCAAGCGTTCCACCCACACTAGTTGGCTCCATCTCTGGGAAAAGGGAGATAGCACTGTTAACAGCAGCCCCTGGTCCACCAGCTGTGCTCTCTCGACCAACTGGACATCTATATGCCAGGCCCTGGTAGGTGCTGGGCACCCAGACCTGCACAAGGCATCTTCCCAGCATTCAGGGAAGGTGGAGGAAAGCAGATGGGACTGCTCTGGCAGTGGATGAGGGCAAGGTGCAGTGTACATCTGAGCAACATCTCTCCCAGGGGGAAGAAGTTGGGCAGAGGGTTTTCAGAAGAGGCAGGTGGAGCTACAGTGTAAGAAGAGAGGGGACGGGAGGCGATCAGAGAGGATGGACTGGAAGATGTGTGCCAAGGAAGAGAACAGTGTATACCAGGGTGGGGGATCCAGAGAGAGGGAACAGGAGGCGGATGGGAGGTGATCGGAGAGGATGGAAGGATGTGCTAAGGAAGGGCTCAGTGTATGCCAAGGTGGGGGATCCGGAGCTAGCATCCCAGCCTGGGCATGCTGGGAAGCTCAGTAAGGCTTGAGGGAACAGGATGAGAAGAGAGAAAGGCAAGGGAAGGGAAGGGACCAGATCATGAGGTGGTATGAAGTCAAGGCTGAAAATTTGGATTTGTCCTGAGAGCAGTGGGAAGCTCTGGAGAGTTTTCTGAGCTACTCTGATAGCTTATCCTTGGCTCCCAGGCTTGCAGGGTCGCCCGCCTCCCACTGTAGTGAAGACATAGGCTTTACGGGGGCTGCAGGCCCTACAGGATGCACTGGCCTACCCTGCAGTCTCGGATCGCCTCTCCTGCTGCGCTCTCCTGCTCACCGCCTGCTGCACTGGCCCCCTGTTCCTTAAAAAGCCAGGTGCATCCCCTGCACACCTCAGGGCCTCTGCTTATGCTGGCGCCTGCCTGCAGTGCTCTTCCTAAGATACCCAAGGCACATGTGGGTGTGTGACCCGTGCAGTCACACAGGGCCTTGGGCTTAGAAGGCCTGGTGCTTGGTTTAATGCTCCACCATTCCATCTTGGTGTTCCTAACACATTTGAGCAGGTGTCTCATAGTTTCAGTTTTTACTGGGCCCTATACTTTAGCTAGGCTCTGCTCCTAACCTTCAGGTCTTCACTCAAAGTAGCCTCCGCCCCCCAGGGGGCCTGTCTGACCACCATGCTTCTGAGAGCAGCCGCCCCAGCCCAGCACCTCACATGTCCTCTCTGCTGTGTCTTCCTCCACGGCACATTGTCCTTCTGTCATATGTACACCTTACTGTTTGGTTTTGGTCATGTGTTTCCTATGGGGCAGTAGTTTGTCCAGTTTGTTCACTGCTGTGGTCCCAGTGCCTGGCCCCAAAGGTGCTCAGTAAGTCCTTGGTCATGAAAGAATGGGCAATGTGGTGAGAGACTGGGAGGAGAAAGGGGGATGCTGGCTGATGGCCAGCCTGGTAGCTACAGTCATCCAGACTGCCAGTGAGGAGCCAGGAAGAAACTTGAGCCTCAGTCTCCTCCTCTGTAAAATGGGAGTGGAGTCACCAGTCTGAGAACAACTTCAAATAAATGTAAATTAAATATAGGTTTTGGGGCTGGTGAGATGGCTCAGTGGTCTAAAGCACCTACTTAGAACAAGCTTTGCAAAGCCCAGGGACTGCGGTTCAATCCCCCAGCACCACATGCCAGCCAGCCCCGCCCCCTGGTGGGCTGAGCTGGCCCC